ACGAGGAAAGAAGCAGAAGGATTTTTTTCAAAATAATGTTAGAAAGAATTCCGGCGAAAGAATCGTTTCGACAGGAAGCAAACTGACGCAGCAAGTGTTGTGTGTATGTGCGGACCGTCTCCTTCCCCTCTCCCCCCGGTTCCGAAAATTTCCAATTTCGCATGCGATATGCATGCCGCCCACATACAAGCACACTCATGAACATGTCCAATAGTTAGTCGAACTCTCCTCTCCTTTCCCCCCCTCCCCCCCAAAAAAAACAATTTTTGGTTATATGCTTTCCTGATTATGCCTTAACGTAACGATAACTCCCAAATCGTTTCCGACCTTCACACAAGGTGTAAATTAAGCCAACCATGTACTTGAACAGGCCGTCTGTTGGAAAATTAAAAAGAGAGATACGCGTCCATCCGGCAACGCTCACGAGAAGGCGCTGCAGTCACCACATGCGCCACAGTACAGTCTGTTTATAAATGCATGGCTAAGCGTTAGTTCAACGAAATACGTATACTATACGTCGGGGCCAAGCTATGCTATTCATTCTCCGACGGCAGCTCTTTGAGAAATGATGTTCTCCTAGCGGGGTTGCATCCTTGAGCCCGCGCGCTGCGCGGTCGCTCTCAAAGCATCCGTATCTTCACCCGTGTGGCACTTATAAGATATACGCGTATGCACACTCGTTCGCGCAGTACGTGTGCCATTTGTGGGTATTGCTGCTGGCTGTGCTCTTCCGGGATATGGTGCCTAAAGAAAGGAGAAAAGGAAAAGCCACATTCGTTTCTGTCGTGGGTACGCCTCCATCTTTCATCCCGAGAACTGTATACGCTTCGGAGTGTATGCCCTGCGTGCGTGCCTACAGCGTCCGCGCCTATCCGAATGGCGAAGAAAGCGGCACGAAGCAAATTAAGCACGCCTCGTATTGGCCACGGAATATCTGTTCTCCTTCTGTTGCTGCTGTTGCGAATGAAAAACTGCTGTGTATAGGAAAACGTGCATGCGAATAAGGCGGCCGGACGAATGTGTGGTTTTCCTCGAAGCGAAAATCTGGAGGGAAGGGTCTAGGAAGTTTCCCGTTGTTGGAGATGTGTGTTGACGAGTTTGGTATGCTTTGTTTTCTCGGTTTCAGTTTATTGAGCATTCTTTTTCACATGAAACGAGTAAGTAAAACAACTTCTTTTGGTCTACAGTATGTGCGAGTCAACTCGACCTCACCTGGCTATGTCCAGTCAGGGACGGTCAGGTTAAACCTGACCACCCTCGCGCGGACCCACTGGATGGCCAGGATTTGAGATGGTACTTTTAAAGTGCAAGGATATAATGTTTATATATGCAAAGAATTCGTTTATTCCGAAAAGAGACAAACAAGAGACGAAGTAGTGAAACAAGAATGGATACGGGAAAAATTGAATTGAACCTTTATGTCCTGGAAGAAAACGCCTCTCGGCCGCAGCTTTGGAATAGGCGTGGAAGGACTGTTGAGCGAACAGCGTAAGAATCGCAAACTATAAAATCATTTCGTGTGAATCCATCGAACGCGCATAGTTGTATCCGTCTTTTGTAGATGTTCAATAGAGTCGCTCTCGCACGAGATGGAATGTCACTTCTACGGGGAGAAAAATTAACGTTGAGCACTGTTGAAATGAGGGCTTGTTGGCACATGTTGATGACGAGAAGTACATTTCTTGAGCGGAACGTGTAGTCGAGAGTGCACGCAATAAAACATTAAATTGGAAGTTAGCGACTGTGTTGTGTGTCTTCTTTTTGTGTCCCTGTTCATTAAGTATTTGTATTGTTTTTTTTTTGGTCATTGGATGAAATAAGAACTGCCGAAACTCTACAGGTCGATGGGATTTGTTTGGGACCTTGCATGGTATCATAACACAGCCTGAAGCAACAGGATAAACATCTCAGTGTTCCTTCTCCAGTGGAGATGTTATGGTGTTTGTCGTATGATGAATGACGTATATTTGTGAAATCACCGTGCCGGTTGGCTTCAGACATTCTTGTGAGACGAACAAATACATCACTGTACTACATACCTACGGTGGCGTTCAATACGAGTTGCAACACGGTGGCCTTGGTTGATGGTACTCCAGGTCTATGCTTTAACACCCGCGAACATTGGTATTGGAAACATCAATAGTCGAAGGAGAGTTTACGTCACTGCTTGATCGACATGTCGGCGCCACAGTGCAGTGTTGGCGCGCCTTTGGTCAGGGATGGCCTGCTGCAAATCATATTGGGTGCAATTGTACGTATATGTATAAAACAGGGCTCAGCAGCATCGCGATAGAAGGGTATCCCGATAGTATTTCAGAGATTCTTTTGAGTATCTGTATTTTTGTATCAAGATACATTTACAAAATATACATTTATCTCAGTAGTTAAATACTTTCACGATGTATCAATTGTATCGTGATATTTGACACAAGTATCTCGTTATTTCATTTTATTCATTATTTTTTAATGAGCAGAAGACGTGCTTCCAGAGGGTGAATGAAGGGTCGCTTTTTTGTGCCACTGGCACAAAAAAGGGACCCTTCAAAAGAGACAAACAAAAGTCCACCGCCGGTCGGTGACATCTGAAAGGCGGTGAGGCTTATAAAAACTACACCTATTGTGCACGTACATCACATCATTCCCGTAGCAGTGAAAATGATGTTTCTTTGTTTGGCTTTTTGGTTGCGGATACTATAGAATACGATATACTTTTTTTTTTATTGGTGCTTCTCTCTTGCGGCCTATCGTAGAGATGCGGAAATGCGTTGAAGGACAGGCTCGAACCGCACACACAGAGCAAAGACGGTGGAGAGGGACAAACAACATCACCGCGTATTACTGGTTCGAATGGTGGACAGATGCAAGAAGGTAGGGCGCTAGCGTTGTCCTTACAGGAGCGCTCAATGAATGACATGCGCCGAAATTAGTCGAACCGTCCTCTGTTATATGGAGAGCGCGTGTAATATACATGACCGTGCTTACTACTCCCGTAAGAACAAGTTATGTTTCAATAAACTTATTGAGTTCCGTTTGTGTCCAACTGCCAACTTCCCATATTTTCCCGATCTGCGTGCGTGGGTTAAGTTGACAGCGTGACAGGACGAGCACGTTTTCTTTCGGCGCTCTCCGAGGAGAAGAAAAAAAAAAGAAACAGGTATACAATAATCAGCTAGTTCGCTTGATGAAGGCATGGACGAACGGTATGCTTCCAGGAAGCGGCGTCCACGCCTCACGAAAGGCTGATTTATCGTTTACGCCATCACGCCGGCAGCGGGCATGACTCCCGTAGACGATGCTCGCCGTATATGGGCGCGTTAGACGAGAGACACGAATCCCGACCCTTCGAGGTTCTCCTGGTTCTTCTCTCCTGACGGACCGGACCGCGAGGTATTGAGGAGATGGGATCTCCTATACGCAGAAGACGAGAAAGACTCGCCGTACACGTCGATCTCCGCACGCTGCCAATCTCAGACCCTCCGAACGCTGTCAGCGGGCCGCCTTGTTCTTCGCTAAGGTCCCCTTCGGCTCTGAAGCAACGGCAAGTCGCCCGAGCGGCGGCGATGTGATGCGGGGTGCGGGCTCGCGCGCGCTTTTCGCGAGGCTGCTTCGGCGTCGTGTAATAATGGAAGTCCATCATCCGGAGAGGAAGAGGAGGGCTTCTGGAGAACGCCGTGTAGGCCTGCTGCATGGCCGAGGCTTCGGCAGGCTTGAGGCAACAGCAGCAGTGGGCGTGCAAGAGAACGTGCGTTCTCTCTTTCATACCAGTGTCGGTTGCGTCTCTCTCTCTCTCTCCTTCCTCGGGGGGTTTGTTTCCTCCTCACACTCGCCTCTGCCACCGCCGCGCCTCCGCCGGCGCGCTTGACAGGTGTGCCGGCGCGCGGCTGCCTTGCACGGTGCGAGCAGGTTTCCTTACGGCGGCCCTGCTGCCTCGGCCGGTGGGGCGAACAAGTGGCCCCTGTAATTAGAAGGCTGCCCTCCTCCCGTTCCCCCACTACCGCCGCCTCGCCCTGCCCGGCCCGCCTGCCCTGCCTTCGCGTCCTGGCTTTTGGCGGCCGGTGCTGCTTTCGGAGGCAATCTCTCCTCCGACGACTTCGGCCCCGGCCGTGCTCGGCGGTAGCGGCGGTCGTCTTGTGCGTGCGCGAGTGTAAAACGGGAGAGGGAGAGCAAGCGCCTCGACCATTGTGCTGCGGCTGCCTTTGCGTGAGGCTTGGCCTCGAGAACTTTTTGAGTGCTGCTCGCCGTGTCAAGTGCGCGCTCGCGTGTCACTTGCTGGTTTTGCTTCGACGAGACGACTGCGACGTCGTCGCCGAGAAATCGGCGGCAGCGACGGCATGTGGCCCGAGTCTCTGTCAAGGCGTCTATCGGTTGACAACTCGGTCGGCATGTCAAAGGCTGCAGCGAACGAGGAGGCGACGACGTTGAGACAACGGCACGCGTTTCCCGTCCCTTGATTTTATTACGAGAGGACGGAGAACAAGAGTAGCGCCGGAGGAAGCCGGTGCCCCTGCGTCTGGCAAGTGCCCGCATCTTTCGGAAGTGTCTAGATCTTCGAGCGTTACTGCCGCACGTCCTGCACGACACGACATTGTTTGTGTGTGTATGAGTTCATTGTGTTACCGTTTTTGGAGGTTCGCCGTGAGTACCGCACTGTTCCCCTTATTTTGACCATTTTTTTTTCTCTAGTGTCATTTTCACTGTGTCGCTCGTCGATGACCGGCCACGCTTCGGCGTTTCGCTTTTTCCCGGCTGGTCAACCGCGGCCGATCGTTCTTCACGCGTCACGTCAAGCCCGCTACCACTCGGAGATGGATTACGACTGCGTTCGTTGGACACAGTGTTACGTCTCTGCTTTGTGACGTCCATTTCTTCGGGCACCCTGACATCGTCTTCGTGTGTGCGCTGTGCTTTGTTTCATCGACTTCTTCGGTGAGCCGAGTGTCACCGCTGTCGTGTTGTCGACGACACTGTTCCGAGCGTGCGGCGATCGAGAAGGAAACGTCATGTCGACGACGATCATGGGTCGTCAGGCGACAATCACCGGCACCAGCGCGCCACCGGCCAGCAAAGTTCTGGTGTGTCGTCAGTGGTGGAAAGTGTGCTGGGTGTACGGCGACCAGTACAAGCAGTACCGGGAATTGTACGGCCGCAAGAGGACTACCACGGTGCATGTGCAGCAGGCGACGTGAGTATGTGCGCGCATGCGCGTGGGATGTCTACGCGTTTCTCTAATGGTCGCTCTCTCTCTCTCTCTGCACGCTTAGGCACACTTCCAGCCGTGATGCGTCCGCGGGTTTTCAATGTACAGGTTATAATAGAGATGACGTTGCATTTGCAGTGACGTTTCGTAGCGTTTCGTGTTCATAGTTCGCGCGTCACGTCATGGACGCAGCTTATGAACGTACCAGCTGATGGCGACTCTGATGCATAGGTGGCGGACTCGCTCATGACTCGACAGACACTCAGGCATAGTCTGAGCGCATGAGTCCGAATGAGTAATACTCTGAAGAGCCAGAGTTTGCTCGAGTGACTCCTGTTGAGAAATGTTTCAGTGAGTCTGCGTATGAGGGACTCAGTTTGAAGAAAACTCTGATGAGACTAAGTCCGAGCGAGCCCTAAGAGCGAGGCATGTTTTATCAGTGAGACTGAATGAACTCTAAATATATTGCTGACCTATGCTTTGTTGTCGTGCGGTTAACTTGCTTCAATATGACAGCGACGTGACAGGAATGCTTTTGTGCGTGAATAATGAAAGGACCTGCACGTGATGTTTTGATATATGAATGTGTCATCGCAAACATCGCTTGCCCCCATGCTGGTGCTTCAACACGGTGGTTTCGGTGACGTAAATGCAAGCCATTTTTGCAAGCCAGATTCGCGTTGAAATTCAACCAAATACCGCTCACGCTTCTTTAGCTAAAAGGGCTCGCAGTTGAAGAGAGTAGAAAACTGCGGCTAGAGGTGCCTGGAGACAGTGCTTTTACAATTATATATGCGCAAAAACTGTGGCGTTGCCTGTGGTGCCTTCAGTGGAAAGCGCTCTGTGAGCACCCAAAAGCAAAAATTTACAGGAAGTTGGTGAACAAATGCGAATTTCTCCATCAATTTGTGATGCTTCCTAATTTAGCATGTGACTGTATCGGTAGCAATACTTACCGCACTATATGAAACATTTTCTCGGAGGTTGTGTCCCCAGACAAAGCGATGATGCAGCTCTTTCGAACATTTCGCGTCTTGCGAACTTTTGTTCCTGGGTGTATGTGTTTAGAAAAAGTGGTTAACGATATAGAGTACTTAGTACTCTACTATAAGAGAGCTGAGAGCCGTCCCGTGGATGGCGGACCAACAGATCAAAAACGAAAACGAATATATACGCGTATATCTGTGTCCCTCAGTCCCACTGTCCATCGCTTGCACAATTTATTGAAGTTACCTTACCTACCCGGCACTACAATGCTGCCTTTAATCGACTTCCTGTCCAATTGCAAATGAATATCGTGCACAATTTTTTGTGACGTACTGTGTGCCATGTGCTCACTGATTGCATTGAATAGTTTCTACCTGGAAACGATTTCCTATATTTTTTTCTATTGGCATAATCGTTTGAGAAGTGCTGTAGCACTGGAGCGAGGTGCTTATATTCACGCGCTACTGGTGTTACTCGACAGTGTGATAGTTGATAATGTTGAGGAAGGAAGCATTAAGGCGTGAAATAAGTCACTAGCCTTCTTTTTTTTTATGTGTTAGTACTGGTCACACATGTATAGCCCTGCCCTCTTTGATCCTCCGCAGAGGGTCGTTTGGTTTCTCTTTTTGGCTTTTTTTGCCGGCCCTGTTGTACGTATACGAGAGTTCTGCGTTTTTTTTTAAATCACGCGAATGACAGGTGCTATATTTATGGTCATGCCCTCTTTATCTTCTCGGCACGGTGATTGGTACAAACTGGAACGTAGTACCAGGAACTGTGTCACTTGGCTATACTTATACTTTTTTTTTCGGAGAGGGCAGGTGGCTTCTGCAGTAAGCAGCTGTAATGGGCAGCTGCCCGGTGTTCGTGCCTATGTAGGTGTGGTCGCGGCGAACGAAATGGGTAATTGGATTCCGATGGGAAATGAGGAAGGCTGCGTACGGTAGCGTTTCTGGGAACTACTGGGTGTGTGTACGTGCATATATGTGCGTAAACGTTTGTTTCTCCTGTATATTCATTTGTCTCGCGTCCAACTCGTGCTATATATAGGAGGGTGCAGGCCCAATAGCATCGTGAACGTTACGAGACGTGTACAGTCGCATTCAGCGTGAGTTTCAACACGCTGAATGCGAAATGAAATGGCCCCAACAATGCAGAATGACAATTACGTAGAAAAAAAAGTGGCGTCTCGATTAGCGGTACTTCCCGAACCAATTTAACGTTTGTTGGTGTCATCGTCCAGGTCTGGGTTCATTTTAACTACAGACAGTGTGTTGCAGCTTGTATTGATCTCGACTGTATACATGACGATTGAGCGTGGCTGTACATGACGTGAAGTATAGACTCTGGCTTTTGATTGCACCCACATATTGCTCGAGTCAAATATAACCGTGGGTTCGTAACGCGGCTATGCGTCGTACACTGTAAAAAAATAGGGCGCAGTGATATTAACACGTCTTAGCACGCTGCCTTGATAACCCTCGAGACCACTTCAGTGTTGACTCTCGGTTGTATAGCTTTGCTCTGCGACGCCAGATGGGCGCGGGTTTGAGCTCCCCCGGTCACTGGCCCCGTTTCAATAGAGGCAAAGTGCGAAAATTCAATTTTATTTTCCCATCGTACAACACGAATGGGGAAACTCAAAAGCTGTGGTATAGGCATCTTGACGAGCTTGTTAACGTTATCTTCAACCGGTATAGGCTATACCGCGGGGCTTATATAATTGAAAATGAAGGTGATTAGTAATGTTAAGGAATCTCCAGAGTATAAACAAAACAGTGTATATTCACATTGACCGTGTGATTGGAGTAATAACGTAGTTTTCGCCCCTGTTAAACGTCGAAATTTGTTAATTTCAATTTCGGTGTTGTACTTGCGTTTGATGGTTCTCTAGATACCGTTTTCTGGCTATGTGTTTGCGTTTGTTTCGAGCACTGCCGATATAGTGCGTAGGAATAAACTTTTAAATTGAGCAGTCAATGATGAACTTTTTCATGGTAAAAACGTTTCTTGAGAGCAGGCAAATTTTCGCAGTGACGGTTGCATTTCGATGGTGACGAAACAATTAGGGCCCGTCTACTGTGCGATGTCGGTGCGCTTCCAAGGACCCTTATAGTGTTCGGAATTATCCGCAGCTTTTCACCACGACGTTTCTCGTATAGCCTGGGTCGCTTCGAGAAACTAAATCCCGCCAACCAACCACCAATAACAGTTTTTTAACAATTTTCATCGCACTATATCGATTCACAATGATACGCGGTGCCACGAACTTGCGCGAACTCATACAAAACCTCGAAAGCATCTCCGAACGTTCGTGAACACCGGCAAAGTAATCGCTCTCGCAGCGTGAAGAGGTCGCAGTAATCGTTAAACGCTTCGAGGAGTCGTCAGCTTAAAGCACACTTCGTGGTCGACCGCTCTCTTGAGTGGTTTTTCTTTGAACTCCGCTAACGGTGCGGTATAGCCTGCTGGCATCTTCGCTTCCCGAGGCCATGGCCGCGGACCATTACGTATACACACCCGACCATGGAGTGTCTTGCAAGGCGCGTATACACACTCTGCATGCGCTAATGAAGTATCCTCCCGTAGCGTGCGGTAACACCGTGCCTATATGCAAAGACGGCCGCCGAGTCCGACGCGCATGGGCTGACTCGCCTTGCCCGGGCTTCGCCACAAAAGCCGCGTCTTCTGGGAGACAACGGCTCGCTCGCGCCGGTCGCTTCACCGTGCATTCACCGCACGCGACGACGCCTCCAGAATGCATTAGCATATCGGTATATACCTGTTTGCGCAGGCGCTTGACGGCTTGGCCGGGCCAGCGCGGCTAATAATCGGCACTAAGGCTGTTAGCGTGCTATAGAGAACGCGTCAGGCAAATGCTGCGGCTACCCGTGAAACGCGCGTGATGTATGTGCAACCTATTAATGAGCTGGGATCCGTGGCTGATCCGCATGCGCTCTTATAGATGAGGAATATGAAGGCAGTAGTAGTGCGCGAGTAAATCGAGAGCCGAGTTAGAGAACCACGCCCAACGATTGCGGCGTACTAAATCGCATGCGTCCGTCAGATGTTCTTACCTAGCCTTCTATAAGTGCCATGCTCAGCTGTTGTCCAGGCTATCATCAGTTTAATGGTAGGCCTGCGGCGCTTCCCTGCATGTGTTAGATGACAATTGTTTCAATGATTACTCCGAATATGTTAGCCGGATTCATCGCCTTGGTTTCTAATCCAATTGAGTCGAGTTCCGAGTTTGGTGTGTACAGTGATCCCAAATATATACACACGAATACGTACTGTCACGCACACACATATTACCAGGGCTATTCATAAACTCTCGTTATATTATTCACTGACTTTCGCATATTAGCGAATATCGCAGTTCACGGTTAGTAGTAATAGTAAGAACATCTGAAGTTCTATATACGTGGCAAAACTGTACGATACCATTATGAGGCGCATCGTAGAGTTAGTGTCTGCTAATTCAGACCACATGGTGTTCTTTGACGTGCAATGACATATCGCACTGCTCAAAGACCTATAGCATTTCACCTCATATCGAAACACGATTGCGGTCGTCGTGATCGAACCTGCTACCTTCGGGTCAGCAACCGAGCGTTGCACCAGCTCTTCCACCTTGGCGGTCTATTCACGATTGGTCAGTGCCTTCCCTGTTGCTATATGCCATAGCCGTATACAAACTAGCCCCGGTATGAATAAATGTTGCCTCCTCCTCCTCCTCCTCCTTCTTCTTCTTCTTTCTTCTTTCTTCTTTCTTCTTCTTCTTCTTCTTCTTCTTCTTCTTCTTCTTCTTCTTCTTCTTCTTCTTCTTCTTCTTCTTCTTCTTCTTCTTCTTCTTCTTCTTCTTCTTCTTCTTCTTCTTCTTCTTCTTTCTTATTCTTTCTTATTCTTTCTTATTCTTTCTTATTCTTTCTTATTCTTTCTTCTTTTTTCTTCTTCCTCTTCTTCCTCTTCTTCTTTCTTCTTTCTTCTTTCTTCCT